TCACAAAGCAGAGTCAGAAATCAAGCTGTGTCAAACGGATATCAGGAACAGAATCACAGATGCAGAGTACAGCTGAAGATCTCTCAGCAAAGTGCAGATGCAGGAGCCATCTTTAAATAGCTCGTCTGGCACCAAGGATAGGCTTGTGCACACTACTGCGCGTGCATGGTGTTGCATGTGTGCATCTTTTTCGTGCATCCGCATTACTAGCACTGTGGCGCCAAAGACACGCATGCGCATAGTTTCGTGCAGCGATCTGGGCAGAAGCTGTACTACGGGAGCTGACTCATGTACCCTGACACAGAGGCTCTTCACTTAGCAAAGTGGATGATAATGAATACGGTGAAGCTGTGTTCACATTGACTAACTGATCATGTACAAGGGAAATACACTATCACCCTCTCATTCAACTGTCAAATAATAAGGTCTCTATTGCACACTAGACATGTAAGTTTAATTTTGTTCCAAATGCAAATTCGGACAAAAGTTAGTGAATTTGGACATTCGGATGCATCCAAATGTCCTAACTCCAATAAGGCCGACACCAAACTAATCCAATGTTCTTTTAACAAAATTTCCGATCATCCGAATTTCTTTTACAATGAAACTAAAATCGGACACGTGACTGTTTTCTGGCCAATCAAAACACCCAGTGTGAAACTAAAACAAAACTCCCAAAGATCTGAATCTGAATAATGAAACGAAACGGCGTTCAGACCCGAAAGAATGAAAAATCGGAAACAAAACAATTTTTATTACCAGCTAACATTACTTTTTCATGAATACAGTATATTAAAACCGTCCATTGAGATACAGCCAAGTAGCCCTCGGAAAAGCGCGTTTGTTGCACGTTTTTTTTTACCGCGAATCGCTGTAAAAACGTGCGACAAACGCGCATATTCGATACGCCTAGGTGTGAACAGAGCCTAAACTCTTTTCGATTCTTTGAGTTAAAGAGCCCCCACCTGTAGAACAATACACTGAATCAATTAGCAGGTTGCGGTTGCGGCAGTGATAAGGGACAGAGAGAGTTTAGATTAGAGGAGATCCTCATTCAGATTGATGGTTTAACCCTTTAGGATCAAATTGGCTTCTCTGAGGCATTCATTAATGACTGGTAACCGCTGAGAATCAGCTGTTACCAGCATTACAAAGCCTGATATAACTCGTCACGTACAGGGTACGTGGCCAGTCATATAGGCACAAAGTGCCGGGATGTACACTGTACGTCTCCCGTCACGAAGGGGTTAAAAACAATGAAACTTTGTTTGGGAGTGTGAATAGGGTTGCCACCTTTTCTTCACGTGGGAGAATGAGTAGCGGATTAGGCATATGTAAATAGCGCCCCCATTCATATGTAAATATCACAGTTCAGACTATTTTCAGTGGGGGGCCTGTAGCCTCTTTCTTAAAGGAGAACTACAGGGTTAGGGCTTTTCCACCCATGGTTCTCCTAAGGGTCACGGGAGAACACAAACTAGCGTTCTCCCGTGACCCAAAGCTCAGTATACCACGAGCTACAGCTCGCGGTATACTAAGTCGCTGCAGCCGGAACGGATCCCGACATTGCTGTCGAGATCCACCCAGCTGCAGGATTGACAGCTGGCTCCGCCTATCTAGAGGCAGAGCCAGCTGTACCCGCCACATCCCCCGTCCATTCCGCCAGTCAGCGTTGGAGGATCGGAGCGGGGGAATCCCTGCAGGAGCCGTGAGTGGAAGTCACGGCTCTCTGCAGGGATAGATCGAGAAGTGAGCGAGCGACGATATGTGTTCGCTCACTTCCCAAACTACTGAGCCAACCTGTGACAGTTTCATTGTCACAGGTCGGCTCAGATTATGAGGCTGAGTGGAAATCACTCGCCTCATAATTCTCCTTTCATTTTGGTTGCCACTGTCTGCCTGACATCTTGTGTCCGGGTTTCTGCTGCCATGAAACCCGGACACAGCAGTCAAAACCCGAACTGTCCGGGTGAATCCTGGAAAGGTGGCAACTAGAGATGTCCAGTTCATGAACTAATCGTTCTTTTGAATCGATTCTATTCACTGAACTGGTGGAGTCGATTCAGCTGAGTGAGCTGATCCGTTTGCAGCAGCTCCGTTTGACGTATAGCAGAGACTCTACCGTGTTTCCCCGAAAATAAGACACTGTCTTATATTTTTTTTGCCCCCAAAAACCACACTAGGCCTTATTTTCAGGGGATGTCTTTTTTTTTAATGTGCAGCAAAATCTACAACAATCTAAAGTTATCTTTATCACTCCGCCTGTCACAGTAACTGGCGCTCTAGAGGAATATCGGCTAATGCGGCTCTGCTCCCGCCGCAGCCTTGCATTCTACAGCGCCGGCTTCCTTTGCCACCAGGGACAGCGGTACCAGCGGTGCAGCAGTGGGGACATCAGACAGTGGACAGCATGGTAAAGTACAGTACCATCTACCGGTACACATTACAGTACCATTACATTAAGCAGTGTCTTCGGGGGACAGCAGTTTGTGAAGAAAGGTACTGGAGTGCTCCCTGTCACTGCGCTGGCTGGGGGGAGTCCCCTGTCATCCCCTTAATACAGTATGTCCCTGCAGGCTGATGCCATCTCTCCTGCAAGTTCCCCCTCACATGCTACCGCCGAACTAGGTCTTATTTTCAGGGTAGGTCTTATATTACAGGAATCTTGAAAAATAGTGCTAGGTCTTACTTTCAGGGTAGGTCTTATTTTCGGGGAAACAGGGTATATAGCTAGCTTGTAATATGACCCTAGAGTGACAGCCAGGCTTCTGCCAGCCCCTCCCCTCCCAGCCCACCTCTGCAACCAATCACAGCCCCTCCCCTCCCAGCCCACCTCTGCAACCAATCACATCCGAGTCACAGTACACAGAGTCTAATCATATGAGTTGGCTGAGTCTAAGAATCGAAAGAATCTACTAGTTAAAATAATCGAATGACTTTACTTAGTTAGTAGACTCATTTAATTATTTAACTCAGTAAGGCCTGGTTCACACCTGTACGTTTTGTAGCGCGTTCAACGCTCTACGAACGCTCTACAAAACGCTCTAACATGAAAATCCCATTGTTTTCTATGGGTATGGTTCACACCGTCTGAACGTGCTACAAAACGGCCTACGCCTGAAAAGGTACATGAGCTTCTTTGCAGCGTTTTTGTCGCGCGTCTCCATTGAGATACAGCCAAGTAGCCCTCGGAAAGGCGCGTTTGTCGCACGTTTTTTTTTACCGCGAATCGCTGTAAAAACGCGCGACAAACGCGCATATTCGATACGCCTAGGTGTGAACAGAGCCTAAACTCTTTTCGATTCTTTGAGTTAAAGAGCCCCCACCTGTAGAACAATACACTGAATCAATTAGCAGGTTGCAGCAGTGATAAGGGACAGAGAGAGTTTAGATTAGAGGAGATCCTCATTCAGATTGATGGTTTAACCCTTTAGGATCAAATTGGCTTCTCAAGGAGATATATATATATATATATGTTAAAGGTACAGGCATCCCTTCTGAAACATCTGTCTCATTCAGTAGCTATATCATAAAATGAGAGAGCGGTCTTTTTTTAATAACATAAAAATACATTTAAACCTCCTTTTTAATTATATTATTTACCCCTCCAGTCCTGAGTTTTTCACACCCCTGGATACTTGGATTTGTTTAGTTCTGACAACCATGACCTCTACAGTGGGGCAGATAATTACACATTTACAAAAAAAATAAAAATATATATTTTTTAAATAAACAATTTTTGGTTAAGTTTTTATTTATTTTATTATTTTTCACTTAACATATTTTTTCACTTAAATGTATTAATAGCGTTAGGATCAATGTTCCCCAGGAGCTGCCTGACACCCTTCTCTGAATCAGAGTCCTCTATGATGGTTCAGACAGCTCCTGAGCTTCGGTTCACTTGCTTGTCAGCCGACTCAGCAAGGGAATCGAAGATTCGATTCATGAATCGGTTCTTTTGAATGAACTGATTCAAATGAACCGATTCATTGAAAAGATCCGAACTTCCCATCTCTAGTGGCAACCCTAAGTGTGAATGTGTGTGCGAGAATGTCTGTGGTTGCATGCCTGCCAGTTTTTAAGGGTCCGTTCACACTAGTACAGTGGGACTGTGCGATTAGCATACTGTACTACACAATCACACCTACTGAGCATTTTGGTGTGGGAGGTGTTGCATTGCCATTCATTTGAATGGCACCCCAAACCCACCTCCAGCCGACAATTCCATTGTGTGGGAACCGTGGTACCGCAATGCTGTGCGTTCCAGTGCAGTGCAACTTAATGACCAAGGACAAATGTGGGTCCTGAGGTCACGCAGATTGGGAACCACTGCCTTAAAGGATCATAACACACAACGGTATCATTAGGTGGATGTTCAACATACACATGAAACTAGGCCCATACGGTACAAATAGAACACCAGAGTAGGGGATTTGTATTTTTATAAAGGGACATTTCTTGAACTGTAATTATAGTCAGGTGAAGACCTAGCCGCGGATTAGAAAAGCATTCAAGTGTCTCCCTCTGTGCGATCACTATTATCACACACTGGTCACGTGTTCTATTGCGCTTGGCTACAGTCGCTACACACAACATGCCGCATTTCCTCCCAAGCCTTTGTTATGCGAGGATGAGGACAAAGGAAAATTGTGCTCTTCATACACAAACCATGGCGCTAAGCGGCTCATTCCCGCCCCATCCAGTTTGAAGAGGAAACACGGGTTCCAGCCACTGTCAACAATGTCACAGGACACGAGAGTCCCGCTGTGGTTACTACGCGCCCAATGTATTCCGCCACCTCCGCAGCGCCCCCTCCCTCTTTCCTAACACTCCCGACGTGGGTTCTGTGATTGTTCAACCGGTTCGCACCGGCTTCTAGCGGATTGACGTAAATTAAGTACGTCTCTCGCCGTAACCCCCTCCCCTACCATCCATGGCAGCAAACTTAGAGGGTGATTGGTCGAAGACCATGCAACGTCATGGCTCCTATATAAGCCAGGTCTGGTGACGCAAGCAGGCCGGCGTCGCCGTGGACTGTGCGTGAGTTACGTCCCATGCTGTTTACTGGTTACTGAGGAGAAGTCAGAGAGAGGAGTTCGGGGCCGCGTCTGAGCCGTCTGTGGAGCTGAGAACACCGCACCCTAGCCAAGGGAGACAGCCGTCTGCTGTATGCACTTTCACCGCCCGCCCGTTGGTTGCTCCAGCGATTCTTCATAGGGACCGGCTGTATGATTAAGATACAATCTTCAATGAGTAAGCATAGCCCTGTAAGTATACCTCCGCTACGGCGAGCTGCTATATTCTGAGTGTATGGGCACAGCCGCTCGTGTCTCTGTGTGCAATGTCGTGACGTGTGGGTGGCATGTCAGCTGTCGTCAGTCTCGTCTATCCGTATTCCATCTACGCCGCGACAGGCGATCTGCTGGATCGCAGTGTATACCGTTGTTCTGCCATTTTCTGGTGTTCTCGCCGGGGCCATTTTTTATTTAGCTGATATGATCGGTGACACCCTTTCCGCGGCCGATGCGGCACGGTGATTGTGATGGGCGGTGGGAAGCGGGCAGCAGTGATTTCCATGTCGTTGTGGATGGTGGCAGTAGGTGTTGCGCAGATCAGCCATTTCATCTTGTTGGTGCCTGAAACATGTCGGGTCTTGTCTGTCTCCTCAGGAGGTCAAAACATGGCCTGCTCCTGCTATGTGCCTGCTGCTGGATTTCTCTCCATCTCTGTAATCAAATGTGACCAAACCCCAAACATGATGGTGTCCATATTCACACATCTCCAATGCATTAAACCTAATCTGATCCTCTTAGCTTCTTGGTAACAGGATGAGGCTCTATGGACGCGGCTTCTATTAATAGATTTCTGGCTGAACAAAAGAAATCTGTCAGGTTCTTCTAATGTATGCTAAGTAGTGTGGATGGGAAGCCCCCCTCCCCCAATCCATCTAAGTGTATATCAGTGTATGGGCAGCTTTACAATAGATGGTGGAGTGAAGATAAACACTCTGGGTTATTTATGTATTGTAAACCTATGTTTATGGTGGGACGTGATCAAATCTGGAATTTCTCTTTCGTCTGTCCCTATTCACACCTAGGCGTTTGGTTTCGTGTATTTGTCAGCACTGAAACGCCCAAGACAATAGATATGTATTTCTATAGCCCTCTGCTCACACCTGAGCATAGCTAAACGCCTGTCGCTCGAAGTACGTGAGTACAGCACATTTCATTCCCATAGGCTTAATAGGAAACACAATGCAATTGTGTTTTTGAGCGAAATGTGTCATCGTTGCTCACAAAAATGAGCAACTTCCATGTATGTGCAGAATTGTGCAGTGAAAACACATGCAGATAAGCAAAATCTTTAACATGCATTAAAGTAACATATTTTAATGTATTTTGACTGCACAATGTTGCATGTTTACATGCATACATCAAACCTTTAAAAGGCATTCAAGTGCCATAACTATTATCAAAACTATATTTGTGTATCACTCGGCTGTAGATCCTCAAATCATCTCTGAATTGGTGCTGACACTGTCCTTCCTTCTGGAGGGTGGCTACTTTTGTTCCCCATGGTCCCTGTGTGTGGTGTAAAGTAGCCACAACTCCAAGCTCACTCCTGTGATGGACTACAATCTTGTATGCTGTTTGCTCATTTGTAGTGAGATTGTAGTTCATGGGGAACAAAAGTCGGCACCAATTCAGAGATGATTTGAGGATCTACAGCTGGGTGATGCGCAAAAATACTTTTTAGTTAATAAAGTGACACTAACTCAGGAGTTAAATACCTTTTAACTAGTAACAAAAATGTATCTTTGTGATTCACTCGACTGTAGATCCTCCATCCTTGAATTGGCGCTGACACTGTCCTTCTTTCTGGTGGGTGGCTACTTTTGTTCCCCATGATCCCTATGTGTGTTGTAAAGTAGCCACCGCTCCAAGCTCACTTTCATGGTGAACTACAATCTCACTACAAATTATAAAGCTAAACGTAAAATGCCTTTTTAAGCTTTAACTCCTGAGTTCAGTGTCGCTTTAAGTTTTGAAAGCCAAAGATAGAAGCTGATTTGATATGGGTAACTGTTGCAAATTTCTATCTGCTCCAGTTTTCACAAATTCCCCTCAATGTGCTGCCCATGCCTTGAGATCTCTAACCCTTTGTTAGGGCGATCCTGCACATTACTATGATAGAGGATTTGCAGCCCTTTAAAAAAAATGAGGTGAAATAGTAGTTACAATAACAGAGGGTTAGGAGGGCCATGCTCTTTAGAGCTTGCATATCTAGTTTACAACTGATGGCTGCTGCTCCTTGATAAGTTTTAGTTTCCCGCAGAATTAGTTGGTCCCCTGAGCATTGTCCCTCATATCTTGTTTTTAGGCATGCTCCTTTCCCTTGCAGGGTCTTATGGAGCCACCCTTGTGTGTGCTAGTAAGCTGCATACCAAAACGGTCACTCGCACTCTGTTGCAAATTATAGTCTATCTTCTTTGACCATAGTGATGTCACATTGTTAAAGCGACATTTCTGAACCAAGCAGTCCCTTCAGGCAAACAAAGTAAGTAGTAAGCTGCATGTCTCCCCACAGACACAGCAAGGCAGGCCACTCCCTGCTCCTTCCTTTGCCCCAAGCTAGTAAATAGACGATTGCTGCAAACTGTTTTCTCCGCTGGAAATAATTTTGGGAGAGATGAGCTGAGAGTTGGCGCTGCATGGTGACTACAAGTGTTTGGCCAAAGTTTAAATGCTTTGCTGGGCAATGTATATTTAGAGGTGTGGGGGGAAAAAAAAAAACTTGTCCAAGGACTAAAGCGGCGGTCCAATCTAGTTGTGCTACAAAATCTTAACAAACTGTATTTAACTGTATTTAATTGTGCGAACAAGTGCTTCATTGGTCAGTGTGGTCACCTGAAATTTCTCAATGCCTGCAATAAATCTGCCAGTGTTCCAACCATTCCCCTTTCCAGGGTTTAAAAAAATGTGTCCATGTGTCAGTGGTTCTCAACCTGTGTAACCTCGGGACCCACATGTTTCCTTGGTCATTAACCCCTTCATGACTGAGGCCCTTTTTTCCATTTTTGCACCCATGTTATATTCCACATTTTAGGCCTGAAAATGACGTAAAACCCCCCAACATTATATATTTTCTGAATGCCAAGACCCTATAGAATAAAATCCAGTAAGGGCTCTGTAGTGCCTAGTTGTGGGCTCTATGGTGATCAAGCACTCGCCTTCCCTCACTCCTGCCTGCTCCCCTCTCTGATCCTCTCCGGCTGCTGCTGCAGCACCACCTAGGAGAACTGACACTGCCACGCTAGGAGGAGGCTGAGGAGCCTCTTACCTAGAGCAGCACAAGGCACGTGGGGACCCCCTCAACTGTGGGTTGCGACCCACTTTTGGGTCCCGACCCACAGGTTGAGAACCACTGCTATACACTGTGTTTCGGACATGATAGAGGGACACTCCATTGCTGCAGCACAGGGGGATACAGGTTGGGAGTGCTGAAACAGCTGGCCGACTTGAGGATCAGGTTATAGCACCACCTATGGTAAGAGATTCAAGATCTCTGCTGTGTCCTTCAATGAACGCAGAGAAAATCAAATTCCTTACTAGACCAAAACAAGCAGTTAAACCCTTGCAGTGCACAGGCAGCCCCATTGCAAGGGTTAGTAATTTTGCCCTGGCGTTCTGTTTTTATGGACCGCTCCTACATGTGCATTTACATTTTTGTATTGAAGTGACACTTTCATAACACTTATTTAGAATGATTATAAATTGCCTTCAAACTTCATCATGTGATACAACACAGAAAATGTTAGTGAGCATATTCAATCAGATTTTCTGCTAGACATAATCGTTCCTTTGTGAAACTGTATATTTGGTGCTATGGAATTTTATACAAGATTCCTTTTACCCATAATTACCATTAGATAGGATTGTGTAACCTCATGTATAGTCCTCATAGCAATAGAAAACCAAAGGGAGCCACATTTTTCATTTGCCCAACAGTGTTAATGTTTGTGTAGGTGATCAACAAATCTGTGTATTGTCTTTCTGAATCTGCTTTACCCTATGATTTGCCTTTTTTATGGTGATCGCTGCTGTTCTATACCACAAACAATTGTGAAATCTCATTCTTTAGGATTATAGTAGTGCTCTTCCCATTATCCCATAAACAATGAAATGCACACAATGGTGGGATCTAAAAGGATAAGCTGAGGCCTTAAAGGAGAACTATGAGGTGAGTGCTTTTCACTCACCTCCTAGTTCTAGCCGACCTGTGACAATGAGGGATTCATGCTGGGCAGAAGTTGTGCCCAGTATGAGAAGAGATACAGATTTAAAAGGAAGAGCAGCAAAGAGAAGGGAAACAACCATGGATTACAGTAAGGCGCACATCACAGTATTTTGTTAAAATAATCTGAGGGTTTAATGTCACTTTAACTATCAACAAAAATGTATCTTGTGTATCACTCAGCTGTAGATCTTCAAATTATCTCTAAATTGGTGCCGACACTGTCCTTCTGGAGGGTAGATACTTTTGTTCCCTGTGATGGACTACAACCTCATGTTTAGGTTACTAATTTGTATTGTGATTTTTGTAGCCTATCACTGGAGTGAGCTTGGAGTAGTGGCTGCTTTACAACACACAGGGACCAGTAGCCACCCTCCAGAAGGAAGGACAGTGTTGGCATGAATTCAGAGATGATTTGAGGATCTCCAGCTGAGTGATGCACACTAAAAAAAGGAGTTTTATTTGAGGTATTTGAATGCAAGATTTCACTTCTGAGTTTAGTGTCACTTTAACAGGTTTTTTTTAGTTTGCTTTGGGTAAAGGAACAGTAAAAGCAAGCCTGCTGAATGGAGCTGATTGAGGGTACAGTGATGACATGGTTTGGAGGTTTACTTTAGAAGGGATAGACAGTTTTCAGTTTTTTTGGGGTGCATAGCAGTCTCAAAATAGGTAATTGAAAATGTCATTCGTGCCTTCTATTCTCTACAAAATGTAACTATTGGCTTTAGTTGAGTTGCGAACGGGAATATTTATGGATTTGGACGTAAATCTTCAGGATACTACAAATTCTCTTTGTGAAAAACTAAAATATTGCACCAGTGTTGTGTGGTTTTTTTCTTTATGTAAAAAGTCAGCTTTGAGCAACTCAACCCCCAACTCCTCTGCTCAGCATGAAGTTTCAATTTCAATTAGACTGGCATTCTGGCAAAAATGAAGACACTATTTCTATGCACCTTTTTTAGAAAACTAAGTG